ATCCAGTACTTGGTGGTGAATTATTGCTGTCTGAATGTATCCAGTACTTAGTGGTGAATTATTGCTGTCTGAATGTATCCAGTACTACTGGTGAATTTATTGCTGTCTGAATGTATCCAGTACCTACCTGGTGATTATTGCTGTCTGAATGTATCCAGTACCTACTGGTGATTTATTGCTGTCTGAATGTATCCAGTACCTACTGGTGATTCATTGCTGTCTGAATGTATCCAGTACCTACTGGTGATTTATTGCTGTCTGATTGTATCTAGTACCTACTGGTGATTTATTGCTGAATGTATCCAGTACCTACTGGTGATTTATTGCTGCCTGAATGTATCCAGTACCTACTGGTGATTTATTGCTGTCTGAATGTATCCAGTACCTAATGGTGAATTATTGGTGTCTGGATGTATCCAGTACCTACTGGTGATTTATTGCTGTCTGAATGTATCCAGTACCTAATGGTGAATTATTGGTGTCTGGGTGTATCCAATACCTACTGGTGATTTATTGCTGTCTGAATGTATCCAGTACCTAATGGTGAATCATTGGTGTCTGGATGTATCCAGTACCTAATGGTGAATCATTGGTGTCTGGATGTATCCAGTACCTACTGGTGATTTATTGCTGTCTGAATGTATCCAGTACCTAATGGTGAATTATTGCAGTGTGAATGTATTCAATACCTACTGTTGATTTATTGCTGTCTGAATGTATCCAGTACCTACTGGTGAATTATAGCTGTCTGAATGTATCTAGTACCTACTGGTGATTTATTGCTGTCTGAATGTATCTAATACCTACTGGTGATTTATAGCTGTCTGAATGTATCTAGTACCTACTGGTGATTTAATGCTGTCTGAATGTTTCCAGTACTTAGTGGTGAATTATTGCTGTCAGAATGAATCCAGTACCTAATGGTGAATTATTGCTGTCTGAATGCATCCAGTACCTACTGGTGAATTATTGCTGTCTGAATGTATCCAGCCCTCTTGGGGATATATATATATAGTAAACGTTAAATATATATTTTGGTACAAGTCTCGAGTAACTATTTCGTATTGATCTCTACAGGAATTGCAAGCCACAAATAATGTAATGAAAAGCGAAGCCAGGAAGCAACGAGAGGAAAGTCAGTAGGTAGACGTGTCATATAAACAAGTTACACATTTGAGGGGCGTGTTAGTAGCAGTTAGGGCACATGCCTGGTGGTCCTGCGATCAAGTCCCCCTGCAGGCGTAAATGGCAGGGGGGGGGGGTGACTTGTAAGCTCAGCGTAAATGGCTGGGGGTGACTTGTAAGCTCAGAGTAAATGGCAGGGGGTGACTTGTAAGCTTACATAATGCCTGGGGGTGACTTGTAAGCTCAGCGTAAATAGCAGGGGTGAATTGTAAGCTCAGCGTCAATGGCAGGGGGTGACTTGTAAGCTCAGCGTAAATGGCGGGGGGGGGGGGGTCACTTGTAAGCTCAGCGTAAATGGCAGGGGGTGACTTGTAAGCTCAGCGTAAATGGCGGGGGGGGGGGGGGGGGGTCACTTGTAAGCTCAGCGTAATTGGCGGGGGTGACTTGTAAGCTCAAAGTAAAGAATGATTGGCTGACTTGTTAACCTAACGCCAAAGGTTTGGGGGGGGGGGGGGGGGGACTTGTAAGTGCAGTTTGGCAGGAGGGGGTGACGTGTATTCTTAACATAAAGGGTAGGGTGGAGGAGGGAGTTAACTTGTAACCTTATTGAAGATGGGGGTGACCAGTAAACTCAACGTAAGGAGGAGAGGGCAGTGGGCAGTTGTTCCACTTCCATGATGGAGATGGCAGCTGTGGATGTTTGCTGTCTTTGGGAATACTACACAGTGAGCCTAGTCTCTTCCACAGTGTAACTCTCGTACCAGAGTTAGAAAGCCAGGAGCCCGTTTTGTTTTGTTTCTGACCGCCCAGCAAATCTCACCCTAGTATGTCATGGATTGTATGAACACTTTTGATTGTATGCACTCTTATCTATGAAGGAGAACGTATCGGAGGATCTAACAACGGTGATGTCAACAGGTGTCACACGCTAAGTTATCCGACAGGAGACACACCCTGAGTTATCAGACAGGTGACACAAACACACACATGTGTGCTTTTTTGTGAGTGTTATATGGTTATTTGTGTGTGTATGTGATCACTCAGCACGAGAGTTGGAGGAAATGATGATGATGAAGACTCCGTGCTGGCTCATTAACCGCCAGTCTCCTTGACAAGGCGGTCAGGTCACCAGTGAGTGAGTGACCTCCAACCCCACCAAGACCACACAACGAGCGACCGGTGACACAGAGTGCCACCATTCGGAGGAGGATCACCCGTGCACAAGTCTCAGAAACCCAGTTCAACCGTTAGGTTATATTAGGGCCCCGGACAACAGCCGGGGTGGAGCGTTTAAAGAAACAAACGAAAAAATTATGCACTACATTTTGGTGAAAAACTGATAAAGGTGACGAGTCTCATTCTTACTACTTTATTTTCAGACGGCTTCCGTCAGTTCATTGGATGGGTTTGAATTTCACTTGCAGTTGATTTTTGATGTTTTTCTCATTGTAGTTTGCACCTGACCAGATAACCGTGAAATCTGTCACAGGATTAAATGTCAGATCTATTTGTACGTGTTATTTTTTTTTTTTTTTTTGGTTTGTTAAAATTTACCGCAGAGAAACATTGCTTAGTTAAATTATTGTTGTCTTGTAGAGAACTAGCTTTCTCTCTGCGAGATACAAGAAAGAAGTTGTCAAACGCGAGCCAAAATCTGAGTACTTGCCACCACTTGACATCAATACTGCAGAAAGGTATGAGCGGTTGTTCAGTTGTTCTTGTTTCAGTCATCATCTTTTTTCCTTCTTTCTTTCTTTCTTTCTTTCTTTCTTTCTTTCTTTCTTTCTTTCTTTCTTTCTTTCTTTCTTTCTTTCTTTCTTTCTTTCTTTCTTTCTTTCTTTCTTTCTTTCTTTCTTTCTTTCTTTCTTTCTTTCTTTCTTTCTTTCTTTCTTTCTTTCTTTCTTTCTTTCTTTCTTTCTTTCTTTCTTTTCTTTCTTTTTATGTTTCTTCATTCTCTTCTTTTTTCCCTTTTTTCTTTCTTCCTTCCTTTTTTTTCTGCCCAGAAGTCTATATACGATTATGTCAGATCTGTAAAACCGATGTGCATGCAAAACTGAGCTTTTGAAACAAGGCAAAAGTCCACAAGTGGATTTGAGGGGAACGTAGAAGAAGAAGAGTCGGGAAACAATGAAGAAACAACCATTCATACACAGACGTGTTCTTTATTGCGAGATAAAAGACAACCAGAAGAGCGGTTTAGTAAAGAGGAGAAAAAAAAAAGAAGTATGAAGATTATGCTTTTTGTGGAAATTGACAGGAAAGGAAACTGATGGGGTAGTGGTGGTGGTAGTGTTTGGGGGGGGGGGGGGTGGAGGGTGGACCACCCTCTCATTCTTATTATTATAAGGTCTCTTTCTGTAGGTTTCCGGGCCCTATTTTGGGGGATAAAGATGAGGCCCACCACCAACAAGCATGTCGTATAAGTCGAATAATTAGGGGTTTCCTTCAAAGTTTGAGTGCATTGGCCTGACAGGCAAAGAACCAACAGTCCGCTTACAAATTAACCAAATATGTAAAATTGATGTGCACACAGTACTCATGCTCTGGGGAGAAAACTAAAGTCAAGAAGCAGACGAACAACCAGGGGCGTAGCAAGGAGCGAAGGAGGTTGAGAGGCCTCGTCGGGTATTATTATTGGGGGAGGGGCGGTGTCCTCACCGGGTGCTATTACTGGGGGGGGGGCCTCACCGGGTGTTATTACTGGGGGCCTCACCAGGTGTTATTACTGGGGTGCCTCGCCGGGTGTTATTACTGGGGGGGGGGTCTCACCGGGGCTTTACTGGGGGGGGGGCCTCACCGGGTGTTATTACTAGGGGCCTCACCGGGTGTTATTACTGGGGGCCTCACCGGGTGTTATTACTGGGGGCCTCACCTGGTGTTATTGCTGGGGGGCCTCACCGGGTGTTATTACTGGGGGGGGGGGGGGCTTCACCGGGTGTTATTACTGGGGGGGGGGGGGGTGTGAGCGCCTGCTGAGAGTGACAGAAAAATTTCCGCACCGGGTACCACCTCACCTTGCCACGCCATTGCGAATAACCAGAACTTTCGAATGCGGTTTAATAGCTGGTGAGCGCGAATAAATCCACAAGGGAAAGACAAAGATAGTGAGCATAAATCAGACATATAGTAATTTGGTTTATCTTAATAGTATCCCACTCCAAGACGTGGAGTCGTACACCTATTTGGACAGTAATGTAGATAAATATGGGGGGGGGGGGGGGACTAATAGATATATTAAAATACAACTACAAAATGCAAAATGAGCGTTTACAGCAATAGGACATTTGTGGAGGTCAGAAGAAATTCAAACTAAACTAAACTTAAAATTTTAAATTTTATCATCAGTCAGTAATGTTGTTTGAAGCGGAAACATGGAGAACTAAAGCAATTACTAATAAACTCTAAACATTTATTTACTGGTGCCTGCGCATAATATAAATAAATAAGTGGTATGACAGAATCACTATGTAAAGCTTTTAAAGAGAACTAACAAATTCCAGTGCACCAAGAGGTAAAGAAAAGACGCCGTTGTTGGATAGGACTCAAGTTGAGAAAACAATGTAGAACAATATAACTAGAATGTCTTTGCACAGAAACCCCCAGGAACAGTTATCACACAAGGAGAAGGGAGCTAGAAAGTGAAAAACATGGGTTGAGCTGCATGCAATAACAAAGGATAGAACGACTTGGCGTGAGTTAGTTGAGAGCCTATGCTCCATTTGGGGTTAGAAGGCAGAAGAAAGAAGAACGTGAAAAAGGATATTGTATAGTCTGCTATGTGAACACCTTTCATTTGACGTGTATGATGAAAATTCGTTACATTTTATCTAGGTATTAGAGAGAGTCAAGTAACTTCCTGTATTTTCTTATTTCAGAAAATAAAATCAAGAACAGTGACCTAACAAAAACACAAATGAATTTACATGCTAAAACATTGGCTCATGACAACTTATCCAAGGTAAAATAAAGCCATGGCCCAGGAAACAGCAGCAAATAACTAGATGCAGAATAATGTGTGCAGTATCTTGCAGGCGTGTCGATAGAAAGAAAACACTTGGCTCAGGCAGGCTCCCCCCCCCCCCTTTCCTCCCACAACCCTCCCCATAACATTTTCTAGGCACAAAGGGCGGGGGTAACCAAAGAATCTAATCATAGTTTAAGAGCATAATAAAAACCTGAAATGGGTACGAGACAAAGTCATGGGAAGTAAAGGCGACCGGCGTGGTGTTGACAGCATCACCCACCAAATGCTGATTGGTCTATAAAATATAGGTCTAGCCCTATATGCCCTATATAGGCCTGTCGGCGTGGGGAAAGGGGGTTTACTTTAGTGGGTGTTGTTTGCTACAAATCTGGGTCGTTTGAGATGTTGCTGCACGACCAACAAAAGTTCTCTTCTTCGTCAGTGGCTGCAGCTGAAAACTAGTCTGACTCTTTGGGAACTAGTAAATCATTGCCATGTGGTAGCAGACCCGAGTCGACACAGCCTCATGTGGGTACCGGGTGCAGTCCTGGGAAGTGAAGGCGGCCGGCGTGGTGCTGACCACATCACCCACATAATGTTAATTGGTCTATAACAATGTAGGTCTAGCCCTATATTCCCAATACGCCTTAAATCGAGGAAAAGGAACCTTTACTTTTATTTCTTGATGTGGTAGCAGACGATTTGTAGAGGAGATGTTTGGATATTCCCGAACCCATTATTTCTTGATGTGGTAGCAGACGTATTGTAGAGGTGATGTTTGCATACTCACGAGCCCATTATTTCTTCTTTGATATGCCTTTCCTAGTTGGGTCACTGTGCAAAAGTAACAGTTGTGGAAGTGATCAGTTCACACTCTACAGATCTTTGGATTGCAGACGACATGGCTTGCCTTTTGCCAGTCAGTCAGTTTGAGATGTCCAGCGCGTGCATTGCATCATATTTATGGCGTCCATCCCTTTTCTTGATCTTCTATTCTGCAGCCAAAACACAACCTGTACCCTGTGTTAATATCTATTGTGTGAAAGAAAATGATACCCTACCACACATATAACATAAATTATTAGTGATGTTCACACAAGTACTAGGCATTTCTAACTACAATACTTCTGATAAGAACCAATGCACTAACTAACGGCAAAATTGTATCATAGATGAGATATTTGTACACAGAGGGGATAGTAGTAATACATTATACCCCACCAGGACATCACACAAGCGATAGACACCTGATGACACAAAGTGCTACCATGCAGATGAGGATCAACCGTGGAGAGGTCCCGGAAACTACGTTCAGCCGTTAGGCCTTATTTAAGGCACAGTCATATTACGGCCCCTGGCAAGAGCCAAGGTGGGGTTTCGAAATAACGAAAAATTGCTTCCCACCAGGGGATGAGACGTACACACAAAAGGGATGTAATCATAGTAGGATTGCATTGCCAGCTTTGTTACATTTTTACTGGTCATTAGAACAAGTTATGCAGTCGCTCAACAAAAGCTGCGTCGTAAATATAAACTGACCGTAACTTGAAAATTACAGCCAGTCAAAATGTTTAAATGTCACTTTCGTTTTGAGCACACCAAAGTTAGTTAGGATCGATTATATTTAGGGCTGTACCGAATAGTGATTTTCACTATTCGGCCGAATACGAATAGCTGGACCAATACTAATAATAAACATTTCTTACGTCCTTCTTAGGACGTTATTTTTTGTTATTTGAAGCCCCACTCTGGCTTTTGCCAGGGGCCGCAATATAGGCAGGTCATCATTATGGCCGGATGTCTGAACGCGGTTTCTGGGACCTCTCCACGGTGATCCTCATCCGCATAGTGGCACTTTGTGTCATCGGGTGTTTATCGCCTTAGTGATGTCCTGGTGGGGTAAAAAGCCAATCCAATCCAGCTGGACCAACTATTCGGCCGAATACGAATACGAATAGTGAATCATCATCATCAGGTGCTTTGCCGACTGGCATGGGCGATTATGCCTCGCCACAATCTGCGATCTCCTGCAACATGTATTAGTTCGTGTGCTGACACATCTTCATGCCATGCAACAAAAATGTCAAGAATCTTCTCTCCTTGTCTTCCTCTATCCCTTCTTTCACAGATCTTTCCAGTGGTCACCACATGTTCCACTTTCCCTCATCTTATAACATGGCCGAAAAATGATGACTGTCTCCTTCTGATGTCTGTAATTAGTTGTCTTCGGGCTCCCGCCTCTTTCAAAACCTCTTGGTTGCTTTTTTTTTGGGGCTGTCCAAGGTATTTTAAGCATTGTTCTGTAAAACCACATCTCTGAGGCCTCAAGAAATTGTTTGGCCTGCCTACGGATTGTCCAGGACTCACAGCCATATGTTAAAACGGGATGTATGTAGCAAGCAAGAATTTTTTTTCCACCTTTCAATGACAAAGATACATTGCATAAGATGTTCTTCATTTTATAAAATTCAGTTTTTGCCTGTCCTATTCTGTTTCTTATCTCAGTTATGCATCTTCCATCTGATGTTATCCATGTGCCCAGATACTTACATTTCTGTACTTGTCCCAAAATAAAACCATTGACTGTTATTACACATTTAGGAATAATTATTTTCTTTCATACCACAATTAAATCTGTCTTCCCACTATTCAAACTGAGGCCTATTCTGCCACTTTCGAATAGTGTATAAAATAGATCTAACAAAAAAAAAAAAACAAAAAAACATCCATAATGTCAAATCTACGCTGAAATTTTACTTCACAAAATGTGTAGTACAGAATAGTAAACATTTAAAAACATTTCACGTTTTGCATCCTTCAGTCAGTCTGTGGTAACTAGTACCTAGGAATGCAAGTATTCTTAGTTTTATAACATGTAACTAAACTTGTAAATTGCCACTGACAGCTTAGTTAATCCAGGAAAAGATATGTTTATTTTCCACCAGTCTAGAAACGGGTGATAGGTTACCACTATTCGTATTCGGCCCGACCGCAACTATTCGGCCAAAAACCGAATAGTTATTAGGTCCACTATTCGGCCCCGAAGCAAATACGAAGCGAATATTCGGTACATCCCTAATTATATTCCTAATGTATTTGGAATAAATTCGATGCAATGTTTTATTATTCTTACTGATATTGATGGATTAAGTTTGATGCACCATTTTGCTGTGTTTACTGTTGTTTAGAAATATAATTTGCTGCAACTTTCCGATGCCCTTGACAATCTTTAGAAAATTTATTTAATGTAACATTCTAATTTTATTTTCAGTGTTCAAAAGAAAAAAAAAAATGATGTAAAATTATCCTATTCTCCTCGATGTTTAAAAATGTAATTTGATGCAACATTCTAATCTTCGCCTTCATATTCGTACATGTGTTTTGACGTAATATTCTAACCTCTTCTTCCATATTCATATGATAAACATCTGTCCCCATGTGGGACGAATTTTTCGCTTTTTTGAAGCCTCACTCTGGCTGTTGCCGGAGACCATAATATAACCTAACGGTTGAACGGGGTTTCTGGGACCTCTCCACGGTGATCCTCGTCCGAATGGTGGCACTTTGTGTCACTGGGTGTTTGTCGCTCAGTATGATGTCCTGGTGGGGTGGTGGGGATCGAGAGGGGGGGGGGGGGGAGTCATTCATTCATATTCATTAATGTACTTTGATGTAACGTTCTAATAATCTTTTGCGTACTCAATTATGTACTTTAATGTAACATTCTAATCTTCTCTTTCGTATTCATAATGAACTTTGCTGTAACATTCTAACCTTTTTTTTTAATGTAATGTTTATAAATGTAATTTTCTGCAGCATCTGATGTTCTATTCCATGCTCAGAAATGTACTTTGATGTAACATTGTATTCTTCTCTTCCATGCTCAGAATGTATTTTATTGTAACATTCTAATCTTCTCTTGCATGTTCAAAAATGTAATTTGATATAACATTCTTTTCTTATCTTCCATTGGGGTAGCACCTGCGGTTCTCTCCCAGTTTCAGAAATGTAATCTGATGTAACATTCTAACGTTCTCC